TCGTTTCTAACTCCTGCTCCGGTTCCCCCGTGTGAATGCCCGCAGAGCTGCGGGATGACCTGCGGGGGAGCTGAGGCAGGAAGACGAGGGCTCGCTCCAGCACTGTTGTTTTTTCTCGGTCTCTGAAAATTCACTGTTGGCCGTGCCAAAGGGTACCCGGATGATGGCTCATGGGCTGGTGGCACAGGGCGGGGCGGGGGAGACAAATGAAGGCGTTGTTAAACCCGTCTGGAACCTTGGCAACAGCTCTGTGGACACCTCCCAAAGTGACACGATGCGGTACTTGTGGAGATGGGGAACGGGCGTCTAGGCAGTGGGATTGGACGTGGTTTCCCTGGGACGAGGAGGACAGATGCCCTAATGGGGGGAACCTGAGCTATGGGCCTGGCGCTCTCGTCCCCTGCTGTGTGCCCACCCCAGCCCCAAAGCCCTCCGCAGAAGCAGCGGGGGCAGGGCTTCAAAGCACCAAGCACACAGCACTGGGCGTTGGAGATGTTTCCCCAGCCCTGTGACAGTGGGCTCTGTGGGGCTGCTGGGGCGGCGGCCACCAGCTTGGGCTGGGGACAGAGGTGAACTTTCCGGCCAGCGTTTGCCGCTCAGGGCGGGGCGTGGGGCCCTCCCCTGGAATAGGCCGTGAGCGAGATTTGTGCGTGAGTTCATTTTTGGCAAAATCCCAGGGGCCTGCTCACTCCAGGGAGAGTTACTGAGCACAGACATTGGTTTGCCAGTCCTGTAGGTTCCATGGCCGCAAATGCACACTTACCCTACCCCTGCGGCTGCACTTGTCCGCGGGGCTCCTGTGCGCCTGTGTGGATGAACCAGGGTGAGAATTCTGGTAGCCAGGCCCTGTGCCTCCCCTCCTGGGTCTGGGGGCAGTGGGCCGTCGCCACCCCCTGCCTGCAGCGAGCAGGACAGAGCCCCCCGCCGCGCAGGTGCCGCCCCGCCTGTTCTGCGTCTGACTCAGCTCCCCGTTCCCCCCTGTTTTCAGGATTGGTGTGATGTTTGCTCTGTGTCGTGTTAAAAGGGGCCGGCATTTTCTCTTGTTACCAAGATGTATTTTTCTATGTTAGTTAAATGTATAATTTGTGTAATTTTGTACATTAAAATGTATGCTTTTCCACAATTAGACGTTCTTTTTTTTTCCTCCCCCGTTGAATGCGTAATTTCTTGTGGGTTCATTACGAAGCATTGGAAACCCTGACGGAACACAAAAAGGCAGCGAATCCGGGACTCCCTTGATTTTGGGCGCGGAATAAACTGTTTTCTCAGTCACACCCACATTCCGCACAAACGATGCAGCCTATGCCCGAGTTAATTTCCTGATGGTCTCCCAGTGTACCGCCCAATGGCTAAGAGCAGCGTGTTCTTCTCTGTGGGTTCTCCAGGTCACATTCCTCGATGGGTCTCCCTGGGCCAAGGTCAGGGTGTGGAAGCTCAGGGGGAGAACCTGCTTCCTCGCCTCTGCAGCCCCCGGAGGCTGCCTGTGCTCCTTGGCTCACACCCCAAGCCCCGTTTCTGAGGCCAGAGCAGGGCATCTTCAAGTCTCCGTGCTGTCACCGCCTCTCTCTGGCTCTGACCCTTCTGCCTCTCTCTCTCCTGCGAAGCACTCTGTGGTGGCACCGGCTCGGCCCGGATAATCCCGGATGAGCTCCCGGTTCAAGGTCAGTGACTTGAGCATGCCTGCAACTTCCCGTTTGCCACGTGGAGTAACAGGACGCAGCTTCCGCAGACTGGGAGGTTAGGAGGCGGGCGCCTTTGAGGACCACTGCTCTGCCTGCCACTGTCTCCTGTGTACGTTTTCGGAGACGGCAGAGAAAGTGGCTGTTTTAGGATCAACTTGTCAGGCAGATCACTTGGGGCAGATCCCTCGGCTGCTCTGAGCCTCTTGTATCTCAGGTGAGCTCAGCGACCTGTGGCTTGCCTTGCAGGTTTGCCTAGAGTGTGATGCACTTGACAGCAAGTAGGATCACCCCCGCCTCCATTTACGAACACATTCTTTATACAACTTAGGGCTCTTTAAGCCAGATGTGCACTGGGTGGGGCTGAGCCGGCCTTGCTTCTCCTCTGTCTGCCGCCAGCTGACACCGCTCCCTCTGCCGTCAGCCTCGTGGACGCACTCAAGGTCGGACCTTCTGCAAATGTCACCCTGAAATTCACTTACGACAGCTCCTTCCCCCAAGGACTGGGGGCAGCTGGGAGACAAGAGGGGGCGGCCACAGCCGTCCTCAGAGGGGAGTTGGCTCAGGCTCGCTGGGCCTCCTCTACGGGTCTCTGCCAGACCGTGCCCCCATGGCCCCCCACTCTTCCTCACCCACACCCCGCTGTGCTCTGAGATGCGGAAGTGCACTGGGCAAGGGCTCAGACTCAGTGCCCAGTCACGCCCTGGCGGTTTGTCACCTTGAGCAGGGAGCTGAAGGTGGAGGTGGCAGTGTCTTCTGCACAGGGCACCCGAAAGGCGCAGCCGTGGGGAGAGTGTGGTGAGGGAGAGCGTATGTGGAGACCTCGTGGAGGCAGGCACCGCACAAGCGATGCAGAGGAAGGGGTGTGGCGAGGGTGGCCGTCTCCGACACACAGCTGGGGCCACGCGGTGTGCCTTGGATGCGTGTCACACGTGGTTAGTTGCCCACGCCAGCACAGGGGACAGGATTCCAAAAGGGCAGGTCCGCTTCTTTCTCTCTCCTCTCCCAACAGCACTGCCTGAGTCAGGATTCCTGGGGAGGGGTGCAGGCTGTGCCAGCAGACTTGTAGTCTCGCCGGGCAGCTGCGACCCTAGGCGAGGTCCTTATCTCCTGGAGCCCAGCCGCCACTGTGTCGCCTGCAAAATGAGGCATAGAGGAGGTCGTATCCGCAAGGCGCCTGCTGTGCCCCCTGGCACAGGATGACTCCGTACCCGGGAGCCTCTGCTCTCCTTTCCGCTCCTGCAGGAAAACAGTTCTTTCCCCACTCCCTCCTGGCCCCGCTCCCTCCGAAGCCCTTCTTCACAAGACGAGAGGGTTCGTAAAGAGGCAGGGAGCGCTCTGCCAGCATCGGCAGAGCCCGCAAGGCTGTCTCTCCAAATGTCGAGAGTAAACTCATGCAGGAAGTGGGAGGATCGGCCTCAGAAGTTCTGTGCAACTCAGGCCCTTGGATTCCCTGCTGTTTCTCTGGGTTTTGTCACTGTGAGTGTTTCGGGGCCTTAGAAGACGTTTCTGTGAGGTCTTCACCAGGAAGGTGCCCTGCCTGGCTTGTGCTGGGACAGACAGGTTTCCTTTGAGACGCTGAAGACACTCATGGTGCAGCCTGGAGTCCCCGGACCTCAAGAGGAGCATCTGGGCCAGGACTCTGCACAGGACGTAAAGGGCCGGGGTGCGGGCGGGGTGGGAGGACACGGGGTTGGGGGCGTGACGCCTTCTGTTCTCACCTGTGTCACAGCACGAGGCCTGGCCACCTGCCCACTGGGTGGATGAGCCTGAGCACCGCACACTGCACTTGCCCCACCTCCTTCCTCCTCTGCCCAGTGGGGGGTAAGGGCCCCTACCAGCTTCTCCTGATTTAGAGTGCATACAGGGAGGTGCTGCAGATCCAAGGTCCCCAGAGCCCTCAGTTTATGAGATCCAACAGCACAGGAGCGGGAAGGGGCCTCCCCTGACTGTCTGGGGCTCTCCCAGGCCACGCCGCGCTCCTGCAGGGCCAGGTGCTGATAGGACAGCTCCCAGCTCAGGGAGGGGAAGGGATGCTTCCCCGTAGGGACCCCACGACCCCCGCGCGGCCTCCCTGGGCGTCTGGACTCTGCGCAGAGGGGTAGGCAGCTGGCCTGTTCCTTCAAACACAGAGCACAGCTGGGACTTCGGGTCCTGGGGGACTCCTGGACACTTTGCCTGGAATTCATGGAGGACAGAGGGCCGGTGGCTGGCCTCGGAGCAGGAGGAGGGAGGGAGCTGCAGCAAGGCAACCCAGGGAGCCCACCGAGCCCACTGCTGGCCCCAGTCCAGGGCCCTAAGCTGCAAGCTGCAGGCATGGGGGATGGGGGAGGCCCCTGGATGGGATGCTTGGGAGCCTGCCAGGGCTCTTTGTGCGCCCTTCCCCACAGTGCTTCTGCTTCAGCTCCGCTTCCCTCATTTCTGGCCGGGTTTGTGTGCGAGCTTCCTGCCCAGAGCACACTTGGGTGGAGTCGCCTGGGACTTTGCCTCTGGGGCTAGCTCTTTGTCCCTGGAGTGTGCCTGCTGTCCGTGTCCGGGCCTCTGTTCATGTGTGTCTTGTGTGTCTGTGAAGCGTGTCCCTGCACGTCCCTCTTGACCAGAGATGTGGTCAGTCTGGCCTCAGCACTGCTGGGGGGTCTCCGTCTCTCCCCAGAAGGGCAGCCCCCCAGGCAGGGGCCTGCTCTACTTTGCCCATAGCCCTGGAGGTAGTGCCTGTGCCAGCGTCAGGCACCAGCAGGAGCTCAATGAGATGCTGGTGAGTGCCCCGTCCAATGTGCACCTCCGATTGCGCAATCAATTTTGTGACAAATGAGAATTTCTGTGTGTGGCGCACAGAATGTGTACCAGCATGTGTGTGTGTGTGTGTGCAAAATTGTCTATGGTGTGCGTGAGTGAAGGAGCCCGCGTGTGTCGGCAGTGCGTGTGTGATTGACTGGTGTGTGCCAGCATGCTGGTGCACCTAGCACGCGTTTGCTCTAATTGCCCGGTGTGCGGGCACGAACCTGTGTGTGTGTGTGTGTGTGTACATGCGGCCGCCGGCGCCCACCCCTCGCTCCCTCGCGCCCTGCGCCCCGTCTGGGGGCGGGGAGTGAGGGTGCGTCCGGGGCACTGCGGTGCGGCCGCCCGCCCTCCGCGCTGCGGCTCCGGAACGTCAGCATCCCCGCCCCAGCCGCCGTTCCCGCCTCCCGGTCCTTTGTAGCCGGCCGCCGCGCTCGCCCGCAGCCGCCCGGAGGCCCCGCCCCGGGCCCGCCCCGGGCCCCGCCCCGCCGCGCGCCCCGCCCCGCGCCTCCCGTTCCCGGCCGCAGTCGCGCCTGGGCCGCCGCGGGCCCGCACCGAGGCGCGGAGCGCGGCGCACGGCGGCGGCCAGGGCCGCGGGCGGGCGGGCGCGGGCGGGCATGGCGGAGCGGCGGCGCGCGTGGAACACGGAGGACGACCTGCCCGTGTACCTGGCGCGGCCGGGCAGCGCGGCGCAGACCCCGCGCCAGAAGTACGGCGGCATGTTTGCCGCGGTGGAGGGCGCCTACGAGAACAAGACCATCGACTTCGACGCGTACAGCGTGGGCCGCCGCGGCTCGGCGCGCACGCCGCGCAGTGCGGGCCGGCCCGACGCGGTCGGCCTGCCGGGGCCCGGCGGCAGCGAGGACACCGCCAGCGACGTGAGCGAGCCCTCGGGCTCGGCAGTCAGCTCCCCCGGCGAGCGCGACGAGCGACCGCCTGCGCTGCACCTCCGCTGCCCCGCGCCCCGCGACCTGCCACTCGGCCGGGACAATGGCCAGGTACCCTCGGGGCGCGCGTGGACCGCGGTGGGGGGCGGGGCCCTCGGGATCCCAGGGTGCAGGCGCCCGGAGGACGGTGCCCCTGCCCGAGTACCAAGGCCATGGCCACCGGGCTTGGGAGAGCTACAGCACGACCCCTCCCCCACCTCGTCCTGGGAGGTCCGGAGTGGGTGTGCGGTTCGGCCGGGTCAGGGTTGGCCGGCAGAGTCCGAGAGACCCGAAGGGACCGCCGAGGTGTGGTGGCGGCTCCGCGCCTGCAGAGCCGGGTTCCGGGAGGGGAAGTAAGTTGGCCAGAGATGCCGCACGGACCCCCAAGAGGCGAGGGGACCTCTGGAATAGTCCCACCCCGGGCGCCGGTTCCCGATCCCTCGGTCACTAATTACAGAGCGCCTGCGGCGGACCCGCACCCGGCGGGGTTCAGCCGCGGTCACACAGCTTCCGGCCACGAGGAGCCTCTCGCGGGCGCCCTCCACCCATCTGGGAAGGACTTGGGTACTGACTTAGATCGCTGGACACCCCTCCCGCGAGCGCCGCCGCCCCCGAGGGCTCCTCGGGCACAGCCACTGCCCACTGCCCAGAGCAGGCTGGACGGGGAGCTGGGGTCGCGGAACCTGGGTCTCAGGCCTCCCGACTCCGGACTCGGAGGGCGCTTCCCGGTGGGAGCGGCAGGGAGGAGGGCACTCGCTCCAGGCCTGGGGTCCCGCAGGGCCTCCCCTTTGATGCCGGGAGTAGAGGAGTCAACGGGCGAGAGCCAGGGCCGGCCCGAGAGTGGGCAGCCGCGTGCTCCCCAGAACCCAGTCCCCGAGTGCTGCTGCGAGAGGCACGCAGGGTGCTTGGCTCCCCAGCCAGACCCCACCCTGTGGAAGTTGCCGGGGTTGGATGAGTGACAGACGTTGTGAGAATTAAATCTGTGCGGAGGTAGTGAGCGCTCAGGAATTGTTCTCTGTTGAGTTTTATGATCGCTTTAATGAACCCTGCTCCCCGCTCAGTGGCCATGCGAGGCATTAAGCGCACCAGAGGCAGGCAATGCTTGACCTGGGCAGAAATCTGGGAGGGCTTCCTGGAGGAGCCGGAGGCCGCCGGCCGGCGCCCGGTGGGGCTGCAGCAGTCACCTCGGGCCTCGGCTCGCAGCTCCTGCGTGGCTCGGGAGCTCTCCGTGGTGCTGAACTCGCGGGAGCGAGTGGGGTGTGCAGTGGGGGTGTGGGTGCGGGGGCTGGGACTCCTCTTCCTCGTTCCCCCTCGCCTCCCCCGCCCGCCCCCTTCCCTGCTGGCCCGACCTCGCTTGGGATCCCGAGCCGAGAGGCCGCCGGGACCAGCACCGGCGCAGCAGCCACGGGGGAGGCCTCAGCTTCCCCACGGCGAGACTGGGGGTGCGGTCTTCTCCCAGTCCTGTCCAGGCGTGCTGGTTTCAGGAGGCGAGCGCTTTGTGCGCGGCCCGGAGCTGTCCCGAGGCGCGTCCCTGCTGGAGCGGCGGCCGATGTCACCGTGGCCTCCAGCCTGGCCCTCGCTCTGCTGAGTCCGCGCGCAGCCGCGCCGCACAGCGCATGGAGACACCGGTCGCCTCGCCTCTCCCGCTCCGGCCCCCTCTGCCCTTCCTCCACCGGACCAGACACAAAAGGCGGCGCCTCTGGCGCGCGGAGGCCCCGAGGCACCCGAGGGTCGGCCTGTGGAGCGGAGGGGCCCGCGGTTCCCCCGCACGGAGCGTGTTACTTTATGCGGCCCCGGTGATCGCGGGGCTCGAGGTGCGGCGGGCTTGGGTTCCGGGGCGGGCCTCGCCGCTCCTGCGCTTGGCAGTCGGCGCCCAGGCTCCCCCCTCCCCGCGCCCCCTTTCCTGGGCGGGAGGAGGGGGTTCTGCGGCGCAGGCGCTTTGTAACCGTGAAGTCGGCTTGGGAGCCGCGGTCTGGTTGGCCGACCGCGGGCAGGGGCTCCTCCCCCTGAGGCACACGTGGTCCTGTCCGCATCTCCGGAGCTTCCATGCGCAGATCTCCAGACGGACCGCAGGGAACGCCCAGCTGCGTGGAACCTGGATTGAGGGCCCAAAAGGGAACGCAGAAGCCGGGGGCGAGGCGGGTGGGGCGGGAGGGTGTGGGAGGGAGGGCGTTTCTCCCGGCCGGAGGGCTCAGGCCCGACCCGGCGCCGGCGCACAGGGAACCTGGCTTCCAGACGCTGCTCTGCTGCTTTGCGCTGGGGTGCGTCGGTTCCCCTCTGCCAGCCTCAGTTTGTCATCAGTAAAATGGGAAAGTTATGGCCTTAGACTCTTGGAGTCCTCGGCAGCCTCTCCTCTGGGTGCTCTCAGCCCACTCCTGTTTGGAGTGCCACGCCTCGGAGGCCACCTTGCTGGTGAAGGGCAGGGACCCCAGCTCTGTCCAGCAGCTGAGGGGCTGCCCTCCCTCTGTGTGGCCCCTCGAGATTAGAGAAGATGGATTAAAAAAAAAAAAAAGGACCCACGGGTGTGGGTTTTGCAGGCAGCAAAGAGCAGAGAATCCTGTTTGGTGCTGGGAGGCCCCATCCAGCGCTGTGGGGGCTTGCGGGGGCTCTCCCGTCCATTTCTTCTTGGGATCAGACTGTGCCCTGACCTCTGCCCGCCCTCGCCCGTGGCCAGCGAATTCTGGCAGAGGGTGGGAGCGTCCTGTCCCTCTCCAGTACCCTGGCCTGCTCCGGGGCTGTGGGACGGCCTCGCTCTGCAAGCATGCTAGGTCTGGCAGGAAGCCCGTGGGTGACCCGGTGGCCTCCACGCCAGGCGGCTGTGTGCTGACAGCTGCTGCAGCCAGTGGGCCGGCCGGCCGTGAATTAGGGCCTTGTCCAGAAGCAGGCCCTCTGCCTGGGAGGGGCGCTCCCTCGGGGAAGGCTGGCTCCAGGCTGGGGTGGTGGATGGCATTCTGGAGAGGAAGGCCCTAGAGATGATTGTGGGAGCATGGTGTCCTTTTGTCTAGGGTGGGAGAGGGTGCGGCGGGAATAAAGACTTGGAACTGGCAATGGAAAACGCGTGATCCATTCAGGGAGCCGCGCGGCGGGTGGGCAGACGGGGCCGCAGGGCGCGGGCGTGGGGCGCGATCCGGGAAGGAGCGCCCAGCACTCGGGGCGGGTCCCTGGCTCTTGGCCCGCTCCCCTCCCCGGCGCAGGTGTGGCGGAGATCCCTGGTGCGGGTGCCACGCACCTGTGGCGCTGCCCGCGGGCTCCGCCTGCGCACCCCAGGGCCGGCTCTTGCGGTTAAAAGGAATCTGGAAACCAGACCCTTCCAACCGCAGGAAGAGCGAGGCCCCGGCCCTGCCCAGGGCGTGAGCACCGCGCGGGAGGGCGGGGGCGGGGGCGGAGAGGGGGGATCGGAAGGCGAGCGCTTCCTGGTTCGAGCCGAGAGGGGCGAATCGGGCTCTGCTCCGCGCCGCCGGGAGGAGCTGTCTGTCTGCAGCCCCCTCCTCCCGCCCTCGCCTCTCCCTCCTCCTCCCGCCCTCCTCGCCGAGCCGGGCGGTGCAGGCAGCCGAGCGGCGGCGGCGGCGCGCGGGCCGAGCAGCCGGGCAGCCACGCGCGAGGAGCCTGCGCGCCTCTCCGCGTCCCTCCGGGCCGTCCGGGCTGCGGGGCCGAGAACGGGGCCGACAGGGCGCACCAGCCGCGTACGTGCCGGCCGGGCCGAGGGCGCCAGAGGGGGCCATGTCTTACCAGGGCAAAAAGAGCATCCCGCATATTACGGTAAGCGGGCCCTGCCGCCGTCCTCCGTGGGGTGGGTGGGGGTGGGGGTGTCGCTGCCCGGGCCCGGGTCCGTGGGGGGCCGGCAAGGGCGGCACCCGAAGCTTGCCGCGTCGCCGCGGGTGGGGCGGGGCCGGTCTCGGCCTGGCGGCCCCCTCCCCCAGTCTCTGGGGACAATGAGGGGGGGAGTCCCGCACGGCGGGGCGGGGCCGGCGCCTCCGGCCCCTCTCCCCGCGGGCTTGCCGCCCCCTCCCCCCACGGGATGCGCCGGAGGACCGTGCGGCCGGAGAGGATGCGGAGCCGAACAAAAGAGGGAGGGGCGCGGGGATCCCGGCCCCCGCGCGGGGATGGGGAGGAGGACCTGGGCCTCCTGCGCCAGGCCCTCGCTGCTCCTCGCCGCCCGGCGCCGTCCCCTCCCGAGGACGGGGGAAGGTGGACGCACGGCCCCTGCACGGGAGGACCGAAGTCGGGACCCAGAGACAGCGCCATGATGGGAGCGCCTCCCACCCCTCACCGCCGCTAAAAATAACCCCGCGGCGCGCGCTGGCCGCCCCGGCCCCGGAAGGGTTAAGGCCACTGGGACTGGGCCGCGGGAGGGTGGGGATGACCGCGGAGGGGCTCAGCCGCGGGGCTGTGGCCCTGGGTGTGGCCGGAAACAAAGGCGCCCTGGCCTTTATGCTTTGTCTCGGTGGGGCGCCCAGGGCTCTGTGGGCCGCAGCCGGCGCCCCCGCCCTGCCTGGCATCCGATTGGAGCACAGGGCTGCCCAGCGCTGCGGGCCACAAGCTGTGAGCCTTGGGTGGGGCTGCAGGCGCAGCCAGGTGCCCGCGAGGCTGCTCTGGGGCAGGGTGGAAACCTGCAGGTGACTCCTGGGGTTTGAGGGCTGCAGGTGCAGAGGCCAGAAGCACCTGCAAGGGGTCAGCCTGGCTTGGGGAGCGTGAGGGACGTTTTCCTCGCACCTGCCGGATGTGTGCAATGCTTTCTGACTCCTGCAGCAGCCCTTGGAAGGAGGCTTTATCCACGCTAAATTCCCAGAGGCCAGCACATGGGCTGGGGGTGCAGCCCCCTGAGAGGGAGGTGGGTGGGTAACCTGGATCCCCCTGCCCCTGCATGGCCCCGTGTCCCCTGACTCTGGACTGAGTCAGGAGTCTGGCCAACAGTCCTTGGCCCGCACAGAGGTGTGACTGCTCACAGTAGAGCTCACCTCCCTTCCATCCGTGGGCTCTGCCCTCTGAGACACGGAGGACTGAATGGCCGTTTGCACACATGTGTTGTTGGCAGAGAATCAGTGGGAACAATGTGTTCAGCCCAGGTGGATGATGGGAAGAAAGCAGGCGGGCTGTTGTGTGAACAGGTCCCTGCCTCCCCGGGACCCGTGGAGGAGACCCGTGGGTCAGGAGAGGACCCATCACTGGCCTCTGGCCCTGCAGGCTGCAGTTTCCAGAATGAACGTTTAACAGGCTGCTCTCCTCACCCAGGTGTCCTGGGGTGTATGGGAGTGCCGCCCCATCTGCTCAGCCCCGGGGGGACCCCGCCTCCGGCTGTGACCCTCTGGGGTGGCGATGAACTGCCAGCTGGGTCAGGGAAGGGTGTGTGTGTGCCCTGCTCGCATGCCCCTCTGGACGGACCTCTGTGCTCAGATAGCCAAAGTGGGTGGGCGGGGCAGGGGGTGTGGCTTCAGAAGGGGTTTCGGCAGCTTCTGAATGAGTGGCCGGAAGCGTGCTGGCCCTCAGCCCTGACCAGGCCTCTGTGTGTGTGTGTGGGGTGGCACACAGCCTGCCCCAGCCGGAAGGACTCATGGCACAGACCACAGAGGACAAGCGCGGGGCGGGCGCTGTGGGGCACAGGTTCCCGCACACCCGGGGCAGGAGCAGCTCTTCCGCATGCCGCTCGGTGGAGGGTGGCATTGTGTGTGCACCTGTTCCGTAGCAGACGTTTGCTCTGTCAGTAAGACTGGGTGCCAGGGAAACTGGGAGGGAGATGCCTCCCTGCCCCTCCCCCCAAGCTAAGCAGACTGAGTTCAGCAGGAGATGGTGAGGAAGGTGACAAAGGTGACAGGTGTCTGGGTGTCATGAGGGCGAGTACAGGACTGGAGGAGGCCCCAGCAGGGACCCTCAGCCTGGTCCCCCCCGGTGTAGGGGGCAGAGAGAAGAGCAGGTGCCTTCCTGGGGCATGTGGGGGCCGAGAGGCAAAGGAGGTGGCCATTGGAGAAGCTGAGAGAAGTCAGCATCAGGGGGCCCCAGATGGAAGCCGTGGTGTGAGTGTGGCCTCTGGAGGGACCTGGGGCCCGGGAAGGAGCTCCGGAAGGGGTGGGGGAGGAGCGGCAGAAGGCGCAGCCCCAGGTGCCCACCCGCTGGATGCTCGGTCACTGTGTGCCCCTCCCAGGCTCAGCTCTGCCATCTGAACCCTGGG